CCCCAAAACCCCAAAACCCCAAAACCCCAAAACCCCATATTAAAGGGCTTTAGTTGATATTTTAGATTTTAAAAATGTCTCTTATAAAATTATTTAAAATTTATGGAAGCTGAAGTAAGTGGAACACCTAAGATCAACCATGAATATATCTAGGACGAGCCAATTAAAATTGGGGATATTCCGATATCTATGAAGCCTAAGAATCTTAAAGGTCCAGAGAAGTTGAATAGTAGGGAGCATATTTGAATCTTGAAGAGTCACAGAAACAACCCTAAACAAAGGTAATACAAAGCTAATGTCGTAGTTCAGGTTCAGATGAAAGTAGTAGCTTCGAGGAAAGTTACTCTTCCAGTATAAGTCAAAGCTTTAGCCCTCCCTATAATGCAACTGAGAAGGTAAGTTAGACCGCTCAAGTTTAGGTAAAATGAGGAATTTGTCTTTCAGATTGAGAAAAGCCTCATGCGGCACCTCATATGCCTTCCAAGCAAGAAATCCAGTTGTCTGGAATCAATAACAGAGTGGCTACCCTTCAATGTGATCATACTTTCTGTACGGAGTGCATCAAAGAGAGTTTGGCCAAGCAGATTGAGATGGGATCTTTGCATAAATAAGTGCCCTATTTGTTCAAGACTTGTTAGTGAAGATGACTACCAGAAACTCATACCTGTGAAAGAGTTTGCAAGGGCAGAGAGCATACGGAAGAGCTTTAAGACTAAGGACAAAACAAACTGGTACTTCTGTCCAGTCCCAGGGTGCAACAGCTATGCACATCTTGAAGATCCGAAAGGGAGCCAGAATCATAAGGCTGTATGTAGCTTGAAGCATGCTTTTTGTACTCATTGAAGAAAAGAGTGGCATGAAGGATGACCATGAGAGGAAATTGTCACTACTCCCATCTATGCTCCCACTACCCAATTTATCAAGCAGGATCCTTGCCCTAAATGTGAAGGCAGATTAATAGGTCTTATTGACAGTGAATGAAAAGTCTGTGCAGGGTGAGGCGAAGAGTTCTATTTGATTCAAGGTCAAATGTACAATAAAAACAATGAAATTCGAGGAAACAGAGGAGGAAAAGACAGAAAGATTTTCTTAGATTTTGAGATGTTTCATTTTGAGGAACTCCACACATTCACGAAAATACTTATATTCCCGGTATATATGAATCGTGACATTTTAGGTGATGCCGTTCCTACTGATCTGCTATATTTGCACATGGTTCAGAAGCTCAAACACATGTCTTCAGAATTTGGCACTAGTTGGGCTGACATTACTATACCCAGTGATCTGCTTCTTCTGGGCTCCATTTGCAATAATAATCTACACCCTCTATATCGCAGTATGCATAATGGGCATAGGCTGCATACTTTTAGCTTGCCTGGGAAGATAGACTTAGAAGGTTGTCTGAAGCAATCATTAAAACTATTCTGGCAGTGAATAAGTGCAAATTTTGGAACTAGTATATCTAAATCAATATGCCTGTAACATTCCTCCACCATTGATGAATATTCATTCTCTATATTGCCTTATAAGAGACTGGATTTGGGGTTTTGGGGTTTTGGGGTTTTGGGGTTTTGGGG